ACAGATCGCCATCTTTCTCGAGTTTTTTTTTAACTCGGTCCAATCGCACGCCGCCATGTGGTACTCAAGATGCGGAGCTTAAAACGCTAACTTAAGCGTCACTGCTTCTTAAATCAACTAATTTTTATTTAATTAAATGCCAAATATTCTTAAGCATTTGTTCTAAGCGTCTGCGTTGATCATGCTCTTAAAAACCCAAAAGATGCTTCAAGATGCGTTTGAACAATCTGGGAGGACCGTTGGATTGGGAAATGATTCTGAAGATCGACGGTTGTGGGAGAGAGATATCGAGCAAGTTGGAGATTCCGTCACGGTTCACTTGGGCATTCAAGTAGAGTAACCCACTAGACCGAGCCCAACCAACTCTTGCCATTTACTTATTTTTAAATTCTTTTACATAACTTATTAATTATTATTATTTTTTATAGCCTATTAATTATAATTATTTAATAGCGTAAAAGTTATTTTCTAAATACACTTTTGCAAATTCATATATTCCAGTACTTCGAACTAAGCCCGACTAATCTCTAAGGCGAGTGATATTATTTTAGTTTATAAAAAAAGTTGAAGAATTTTAGATAGAAATCAAAATAGTATATTCTAACCTTTTTTTCTTTTTGAAAATAGTATATTCTAAATTTTTTACACTACAGAAGAATTTTTTTTCAACTTTAGAAGGATATAGTATTGGGTGTAAATAGTAACAGATGAATATTGCGGAATTACGGAATCTTGCAGAATTTTTTATAATTTTTTGCAGAATAATGTTGAATTCAAATGGTAACAGCTGAATCTAGCGGAATGTTGCAGAATTTTTGAAAATAAATATTAAAAACCTTTTTTTGCTAAAATCAAATATTTATGTTTATAAATATATTAAATTTTACAAAATAATAATCTTTTATTGAATTATCTTCTAATCCTTCCAATTTCATCAATATATTTTTTAAGCAAAATTTACAAGTATTGTTTGGGGTTGTTTTCAGTTTCATTTTATAAAATATTTTACAAGTTTCTTTGTTTAGTTAAATGTTGTCTTA